TTGAGGTCTTTCTTGTATAGTTCTTCTGTGTATTCTTGCCATCTTTTCCTAATCTCTTCTGCTTCTGTTAGGTCCCTACCGTTTTTGTCCTTTATCATGGCCAGCTTTGCATGGAACGCTCCCTTGATTTCTCCAATTTTCTTGAAGAGATCTCTAGTCCTTCCCATTCTATTGTTTTCTTCTATTACTTTGCACTGTTCATTCAGGAAGGCCTCCTTATCTCTCCTTGCTGTTCTCTGGAAGTCTGCATTCAGTTGGGTAAATCTTTCCTTTTCGCCTTTGCCTTTCGCTTTCCTTCTTTCCTCTGCTATTTGTAAAGCCTCATCAGACAGCCACTTTGCTTTCTTGCATTTCTTTTTCTTTGGGTTGGTGGTGATTGCTGCCTCCTGTACAATGTCCCAGAGTACTCTCCTCCAAAAGGAGCTGGAACTTTTGAAAGGCTGCTTGGAACTTCCTATCACACAGGAATCAGTACTGTACAATTGTTTTAACTTGCTTGAGGGGGAGAACATTTAGGATTTATGCTATCTGACATTACTGTTTGGAAACACATAAGGCTGGATCCTACAGAAAAGAGCTCTGAATGCATTGTGAGGGTTGTTGGGTTTGTTTTTGGCCAATTCCCCCATGTCACAGTAGCTGTCCCGTTGCCCCACCCCATGTTGTTCTTGGAGGTCCAGTGTCATGCCTCCATGCAAAGAATTTAGACAGGATCCAGCCCATAGGCTTTTTAAATGGGACCCCCCCCCCCAAACAGGGCAACTGTAAAGGGGTGTGTGTGTTGTAGATATTTTCCCCATGCAAAGTCCTTGTATTCCTGGCATAGCATCTCTTTGTTCTAATTTTACACCTGACACAGACGTGAGTTAGCTTTTACAAACAAATACCGGCAAATGTATTTGTCATGGATGAATGATGACAGCTGTGGAGATGCTCCCATTAGGTGCCTCATGGGGAGGAACTTGGGCTGCTTCCTCTTGCCTGGCCAAAGCCGGCCGTCCTGAGCTCGCCTTCCACCTTTAGGTTGTCTGCTGTAGCCGCCTTCAAATAGCAGCCAGTTTCTGCCCGGAGAGGTCTAAAACGTTCTGAGGCTGACCGTGCAACGCACTGGACTCTGCTAAGTCGCAGGCACCCAAGCAGTGCCGAAGCCTCGGCTGTTTAACTCTGTGTGTGAAAGCAGCATGCTGAATGAATACAGGGGGCAAGGATTGATTATGTCCTGTATTTGAAAGCGGCAGCGGTCTGTGAGACAACGTTACGTCTAGGCTCGCTATGGAAAATATGAAGGAATGCTGAGGAAGCTTATTTGCAAAAGGATATGTACCTGTAAGCAATTTTCTCATTCTCTCCCCCCCCTTTACTCATTTCCCCCTTTATTTAGAGAAGGACTTTTAAGGATTTTTTAATCTTCCTTTAAGTGAAGCAGTGAGCAAACAAAGGCCTCCTTTGATCAAGGCGTTTGCCCGGAAATTGCTAGATGTCAGTCACAAATGAGCTTTGGATCACGGAGCTTGTCATTAATAGTGGAGAAATGTTAAACTCAGCGAACTGCCAACTGCTTTCGTTTATGCCTGCTGAAAACACTGGAAGTTAAAGGGGGGGGGGATTTAGATTTACAAAATGTATGGGTAGACCACAGAATATCATCCTTGTTATAAATGATAATTACACCCGGCAGTTATAATGTTGTGGTGAATATCAGTTTTACTATGGTGTATATCTGGACGAGTTGCATCTTATTTCCTGAAATCCATGTTCAGATTCTATCCTGTTCTTTTGTTTCCCTTTCTGCCTGGCACACGTGCTTGCTCAGAGACCTCATGTCTTGAATTGAACATGTCCGATTAATGAAAATGAGGGGGAATAGTTTAATACTGTGAAACATACTAGATAGTTCTGGTTAGTAATTAAAATGAGATGCTTATATTGTCAGTGAGAAGCTAAAATGTCTTTTGTAACTTTTCTGTAGAATGTTGGCTTTTTTGTATCTCATTCTTAAAGAGCTGTTTTTTAAAAAGACATTTTTTCTTGATATGTTAAAAAACGAGCTGCTTTTTATAAGCATAATTTAGAAACGAGGCTTTTTTTCCTGGGATACTAAGGTATTAGAAACCACACCTGCAGTGTGCGTATGAAAGAGAGAACTGCAGTTCAGAGAGGAGATTCAAATAGAAGTCATTTTTTGTCGTTATCTGTGCTTTCTTTTTGTCTTTTTTTATAATAATGAGACCCAGTCCTTTCTGAATTTAATTCCCATTTCATAAGTTGTTAAAAGAAAATATAGACAGGATAAAATTCCCACTCAGCCTTCCACAGTCACAATAATAAGGCTAATATAAGCGGAATAAGGTTAATATAAGCAGACTCTTCTGCTGTGCTATAACTCTCTCCACGTGTTTGATCCTTTACTCTTTTCTGAAAATTTTTTATATAATAATGAGACCAGTCCTTTCTGAATTTAATTCCTATTTCATAAGTTGTTAAAAGAAAATATAGGCAGGATACAATTCCCACTCAGCCTTCCACAATCACAATAATAAGGCTAATATAAGCGGAATAAGGTTAATATAAGCAGACTCTTCCGCTGTGCTATAACTCTCTCCACGTGTTTGATCCTTTACTCTTTTCTGAAAGCGTGACCCACTGATATCATTCCGAATGACTTGTAGGGTGTGGTGCTGGGGACAGGAGTCCACATGTTTAAAGATCTGAAGACAATGCAACCCAGAGGGAGTGGTTTCTTCCATAGGCTCTCCTGTCTTGTACTTGTCTTACTACAGGCTTGTTCCAATTCAGAATTGGGAGCACGTGTCTGAATGTTTTATTGAGCAGGAATACGGAAACAGATGTGTTTTTGATAGCTACATAGGCCATTGGAAGTAAATATGTACAACGTGGGCTCATCAGGGCTTTCAAGCATATGTTTATTTCCATTGGCCAGATTCCAAAGAGCTGCTAAACTAGTGTTGTGAGCCGAAGAAAGCTGTAGTCGTGTTTCCCTCCAAAATTAGCTGTCATGATACAGAGATAATGTCTTTTGAATCAGAGGGGAATTTCTCAGAAAAGTGCTTTGGATTTGGAAGAGGCGGGTTACAACCCACAGAGGGTAAAAAGCTTTCACTGGGCTAGAGTGAGCCACCTTGCATGAGCCTAAGCAGCTCTTTAGAGCCCAGCCAATATGTATATAAAACTTTTCTGTCAAAAAGTTGCAGTGTCCCAATTACAGTAGAGTCCCAATGAAATACGTATTAAAAGAAAACCATCCGAAAGCAGAACAAATTCTACACGACAGCTGTGAGATCAGTAGCTGCAAACATTTGACAGAACTGATACATTTTTATCTATATATCCAATAATGAAGGCACCCCCTATGTGCGGATATCTAAATCCGCATATCGGGGGCACCTGGGGGGGCAGGGAGATTTTCCTGCACATTTGGGTCAATCCCCAGATGTGCAGAAAAAGTTGAAATCTATTTTAAAAAACCCTATTTTAATATGTATCCCCCCAAAAGTAAAACTTTTTCAACCTATCTGGCGTCCAGTGTTTCCCTCCAACATTAGCTGTTATGCTACAGAGATAATGTCTTTTGAATCAGAGGGGAATTTCTCAGAAAAGTGCTTTGGATTTGGAAGAGGCAGGTTACAACCAGTGTTCCCTCTACGCTGAGTTAGTGTGAGCTAGCTCACAGTTTTTTAGCCTCCGGCTCACACACGTTTGTCTTCGCTCAGGAAGGATGGCTCCAGAGCAAACTAATGTATGCAGCAGCCAACTCGCTCGCTCACAACTTTAATGCCGGTAGCTCACAAAGTAGAATTTTGGCTGAGTCTGTTCTTTTAATGTTTTACAATCTGTCTCAAGCCCAAGGGCCTTTTTGCCCGCATCAGGGTAGGAATATCATTTCAGGCTGCTAAATATTTTACGGGTGAGTTTTTAATGTCTTGATCATGTTTCAATGCTGTTTTTGTTATTGTTTTATTTGACGAGCCAACTTGAGCAGGTCTGTGGAGAGCTGCTGTATACAGTTTCTCAATACATGAATTTCATGCACATGAAGGAGAATCTAGAAAAAGTCTTAGACCTCGAGTTAATGATCCGGGTGTCAGTAATTTGCCTTGTCATGGAACTGTACTTGGTGCCTGTTATGGAACTGTACATGGTAATGTGTGGTGCGGTTTTAGTAAGCATGGGGCAAGTGTGTGATGTTTGCTTGAGTTTCTCTTGGATTAGTGGTCACCGCTAATCAGAATTCTTCGCTATGTGTACTGGTCAAGAAATAGGGTTGCCAACCCCCCCCCCCCGGTTTGCCAGGGGGCCCCCGTTTTTTTGGGGGGTTTTCCCCCCCCCCCCCCGAGCAGATGGCCGGCGGGGGAAGCCCCACCCCCAACACCCACAGCCACCCCTCTCTCTCCCTTTAAGTGTGTGGAACCCGTGTTTCCTCCCAAGCCCGATCTCCGCTTGAGATCAGGCTTGCAGGGAAATGCCAGCTTTGTGCACTTAAAAGGGAAACGCGGCTGCTCTTAAAGGGGAAACACCGGCTTCTGCACTTAAAAGGGAAACGCCGGCTCCTTTAAGTGCAGGGAACTGCCGTTTCTGGAGATCTGGCATGCGGGTGGGTGGGGCCGGCGGACATCCCCAACGTGATGTCATCATGTTGGGGATGCCCCGCCCCCTCCAGGAACGCAACCCTATCAAGAAATAATTTTGAATATGCCATCCCCCCATTTTAGACTAATATGAAGTTTGTTTCATGTTTTATGAAAAATAATAATCTATAATATAGTTGTAAATGTTTTGAAAGGGCAGACTGTGACAGGCATTTTAGAACTCTCTATTTTTAACACGGGGTTCAAAATGACTGAGCCAAGTATCTAGCAATAACCCTGAACCTGGATATGTACACTTGTTACTCTGAAGCTTTTTGTGCTGCATTTCTGCAAGGAAAATTTGTTCTAAAATTTGAATACATCTCTGAATTTGTAATTGTGCCTCTTCTGCAGATAAAAACTTTGATGATGATGACTCTGTGGACGGGAACAGACCTTCTTCGGCCAGCTCCTCTACATCTTCAAAGGCTCCTTCGACCTCTCGAAAAGGTGGGGTGGGAACTGCTCGCAGATCTGGAACAGTGGCTCTGGTCTCAAAAACCCCAGGTAAGTCAGGCTTTTACAAATCAGAAGATTGGAATAAAACCCTATGCTGTTTTTATTTTCTTCTTGAGTCTTAGTGCACATTTGAAGTCACTTGAAATGCTAAGAGAGAACTGAGGTGGTTTGTATGTTCATGGTTTTGGGGACCATACGTGTCTGCCTTGTCTGTTAGAAGCAAATTAATTATAGAGGAGACTAAATCATTGCATTCATACACAGCTGTGATTGAGATCAGGGCCTTCTAGGAAGGGCAGGGGGGATTTAAACTTTGGCTGCTGCTCAGATTCGCTCACGAACACTTGTTTTTCAATGCTGTTACTAGCAACTTTTTTTTAAAAAAAGCAGGCCTTAAAAAGGACACTTGTTTTTTTACTTAAAAACTGCTGATAGTAGTGGGAGTAGCTAGGTTTCAGTTAGATAAACTGATCTGAGATTGAAGATTTAACTTTCCTTTTTCCTTCCCACATGGCCCCAATCCAAACCCTGTCTGCACGTGCATACAGTTTACCTTCCAACAGACTGGTAGAGGAATGTGATGTCTGTCACGTCTGTTGTGACCCTAAATCTTCATTGGTATGCAGTTAATCGTGGTTCTTCCAAGACAAGTGCATATTTCAGATGGTAGGCCTGTCTGGGTGAATTAAGCTGGAAGGGCAACCAACACAACAGGGAAATAACATTTATTTGCCCTCCAAGACAGAATAAAGAGACAGACACCAGAGCTGGGTTAACTAACAGGGCCACTTTATTAACTGTCAATTACAACTGAAAGTGGCAAGGGCAGAACAATGCATTGTGGGATGGTCAAGGCCAGGGGTCCACCATGACCCCTCCCTTGCCATGCAAATCGGGCGAGACAGGTTGCTCCGGGCGGTAGCCCTCTAATGTGGCTCACATCTGATCAGCAGCCTTCCAGTACTCGCCCTGGAACTCCATCCCCCAAACCGCAAGTCTCAAGGGGGAAGATCGATCCAGGGCGGTCCTGTAGGCAGTCTGCTTTCCCCACCCCGGACCGCAGGGCCCAAGGGCTGTACTCACGAGACCACCTAGACACCAAAGAGTGGGTGTCTGCTGGTGCTCACCATTCCGCAATTTGTAACCAATACCACCCTGCCACCACAAAGGCCAAGCCTCTGCTTAGGACCTTGTGCCCTTAGGGAGACCAAAGGCCCCCCTGCAGCACTTGCCAAAAATATGTCCATATCCAACTCTGACAAATGTACCCCATCACTCTTTACATGCTGATGTTGCCAGCTCTTATTTTTGGGTGAGGCAAAAAACAATCCCCACCCCCTTCCAGAAATCTTTGAATCTCCCGATGGGCTTTGCAGCACGCTCTGTCAATGGCCAAAGGGTTTTCGGCCCCACCCCAAACCAAACGGGGCACCATGGCGGACCACGCCATCAGTGTTTCCAGCCAGTGCCGCTTAGTGACCTGAAAATCTGCCTGAGCCTGCAGTATCAATGCTTTACCCTTAATAATCAGGCCCAAATCATTGCTGCCAAGATGTACAGTGAGCACCTGGGGTGGAGGACCAACCTTGGTCTCAAGCAGTGTTCCCTCTAAGCTGAGTTAGTGTGAGCCAGCTCACATTTTTTTGGCCTCCGGCTCACAGATTTTTGTCTTGGCTCAGGAAGGATGGCTCCAGAGCAAACTAATTTATGTGGTAGCCAAATTGCTTGCTCACAGCTTAATGCCAGTAGCTCACAAAGTAGAATTTTTGCTCACAAGACTCCGCAGCTTAGAGGGAGCATTGGTCTCAAGCAACAACTGCATACGGCCAGGCCACTGTAAACCCTGGCGTCCTAGCCACTCCACCACGGCCCACTGACTGAGACCCAGCCGCGAACCGATGTGCATCTGCCGTGCTTTATGCGTGGCCCAGAAGACAAAACTGTGCCCGCAGATGAGAACGCTCTTCCTCTCATGCTGGCAAACAGGACCTGAAACGAAAGAACAGTAAACAATGGAACAGACAAGCACCGAAACCCAAACTTGGACAAAAGAACCAGAAAAGCAAGGCCCAGCCACCGGACGCGCGTAAGCCTTGTGAACTGCAGAACGCCATCGACCCACATGTTGAATATCCCGGGCAGAAGAACCCATCACAGCTGCCGTAGATGCGGCACCAATCAGAAAAAAATGGGTGCAAAAACGCATCCCTGACAGGCCAAGCTTATTCAAGGCATTGGAGGTGACCGCCCAAAATTGGTGCTTCGTTAAGGGGCTGGTATCCTGATGGCAGAACAACGGGCCACCCTCAAACCCCCGGACAGCCATGTAGGCAGCCAGCGCGGAAACCGGGCACAGCTCTTTTTCGGAGCATCCACCCAATGTAACCACTGACCCTAGCTGCTGCTGGTTTGTTTTAGAGCGCCGCAAGGTAATGTAAGCATTATCCCCAACTAAGCGCAAATCCTGCACCATCAGAGTGCAACCTGACCTATCTGTTTTTGACTGGGCCACCAGCTTGCTTATTCTGAAGGCCACAAAAAAACGCGAGGAGTGCAGCTGCATGAAACAAAGAGGCCTCATAAGGGGATCCACATACGTCCCTCCACTTAGCTTGCAGGCCCCTAAGAACCGTGGGTGAAATAGGCTGCCTAGGGTTGCTTCGTGTCCCAGCTTCGCATTCCAACTCTCCAACATTCTGCAAATCCAGAAATCTCCCGTAAACTCCGCAAGCCCGTGAGCTTTGCCTGCAAAAGCTACTGCAGCTAGAATCCCTTTCATGGAGCTAACAGCCAAACCCCTACCTCTTAACTCAGCACAAAAATGCAACAAGTGGTCAGTCGGCACTGGCCGTGAACTGGGATACCCTACCTCTAAACTGCACAGTCATAAGCCCGCTTCGTGCCTGGAGCAATGGGCTAACCCCATCGCCCTGTGTACCTCTGCCTTCCAGCCAACTAGAGCGCCGGTGGTATTCGTACCGGCTGCAACTCGGCTTCTGGGGCAAGCTGACGAAACGTCTCCATCTATTTGTGTGAGAGAGCATCAGCAACCGCATTATCCACCCCCGGCACATGTCTGGCAAAAAAACAGAATGTTGAGTTGCAGGCACCTGAGCGTGAAGGCATGCACCAAGGACATAACCCGATGCAATTTGGACGTGAGAGAATTAATGACCTGGACCACTGCCAGATTATCACACCAAAAGTGAACAGTGTGATTGGCCAGATCACTTCCCCACATCGAAACCGCCACCAGGATAGGGAAAAATTCCAGAAAGGTGAGATCCCTGGTGAGCCCCAAGTCCACCCAGTCAGCAGGCCATACCTCAGGACACCACTGCCCCCTACAATAGACTCCAAAGCCCCCTGACCCAGCAGCATCTGAATGAATTTGGAGCTCGGCTTCCAGCTTCAAATCATCTCTCCAAAAGGAGATCTCATTAAACGAGTCCAAAACCTCTAGCCAAGTATCCAGATCTGCCCTGACACTTGCACTAAGTCGGATATGATGGAGTCCCTTCATGGCGTCACACAGCCTGCGCAAAAAGGCCCGCCCAGGGGCCACCACTTTGCACACAAACCCACCAACTGTTGCAGCTCACGCAACGTGGCTTTCTTTTTACCCCTAAACTGCAATTCCTCCAACTTGCTGATGGGTAAACAGGAGGCCTGAGCACGTGTGTCCAGCTCTACACCCAAAAAGGCCAAAACTTGGGCCGGACCTTTGGTCTTCTCGAGCACAAGGGGCATGCTGAGGTCACCCGCCAAGTCGAGAAATGTGCCCAGCAATCGGCTGCACTGACCAGAACCTAGGGGCCTCACAAACAGGAAATCATCCAGATAACCGAGTACAGGAACGGAGAGCCCACTCCAGAAATGAACTAAAATATTCAAAAGCTGCACAAGATACTGAGCAGTCCATGGGCAATGCCCGATCCATGTAAAAACAACCTTCAAAAGAAAAACCCAGTAACTCAAAATCTTCTGGATGCACTGGGAGCAGGCAAAAGGCCGACTTAATGTCGCATTTGGCCATCTCCCCACCCAGGCCACATTGGCGCACCATGTGCATGGTCTGGTCAAATGAAGTGTACCGCACGGAACATAATGTGTTGGGGATAGCATTGTTAACTGACTCCCTCCTTGGGCAAGAAAGGTGATGTATAAGGTGATACTCCCCTGGGGCTTTCTTGGGCACAATCCCCAGAGGAGAAGCCCTCAAATTAGGCACCAGCAGAGCAGGAAATGGGCCTAAAATCTTTCTTTCTCTGTTTTCTTTCTGACTATATGTTCCATGCTTCTAACTGAACATAAATTGCATGCCAAAAAGGGGGCCCGCACACCCTGGCATGGGATACGAAGACCAAAAGTAAAGCCCTGCAATAAATACATCTTCCCACTTGGGGTAGTTCTGAAGCCAAGCTTCAAGCACTCTCAGTTTTATGGGGCTGGGACCCTTTACCAGCAGATTAGCCTGACCCGCCCCCTTCTGGTCTCCTACGCCCTTTCCGTGGTTTTCCCAAGAAGCATGCTAAAAAGGGGTGTGGACCTGCACACTATGGGCACTTGTGCCTGTACTGACAGGTTTTCCGGTTACACACCCCTTGCGACCCAAATTCCCAGCAAATCTGGCAGGGTTGAACCACCTGCCCCGCCTGACTGCGGGGAGTGGAAGCAACCGATAAATGTTGGACCAAATGGCCACTCTGCGACTGGTCGCCCACGTTCGGTTGCGCTGGTGAGTGGTGACATGACCTGTAGCCATAAATGGGGATGGATCTGATCCCACCTCAATGAAGGGTTCATGGCCGCCTTCATCCTGAACTCCTCATTGTACTGCATCCAGGCGGGGCCAGTGAAACCTTATAAACAATGTCAAAATACTGAAACAAAGAAGCTGCCCTCCAGGGCTGCGCCTTTGAAAACACTCCAGCGTAAATTAGGAACCCAGCCACCCAATGAGCCCAGGTCCTATCCACCTTCATCCTCTTTAACTCTTCTTTGTCCTTATTCTCCAGGTCCTCCCTATTCTTCTTCTCTAACTTGCGGTAAATAAGGGAGAATACATCAACATACCCCTACAAATCGTTTCCCTGGTTGCCGGTAATAGGCGATCCCCCATATCTCCGAAAGGCAAAGCCAATGCAGGCACTGATGCATATGAGGCACCCATGGGGATGGGCCACCCCCCCAAGGAGTCGTCGACCCCATGGGTGACTGCCCAGGCACGCTGCCCCACGCTCCTTGAGGAATACACTGAGCAGGGTGGCCACCCCAAGGTTGACTGAGAGTCTGACCGTATACAGGGGAAACAGGACCAGTGGGCGTGGGCCCCTGTGCTGACTGCTACCCCCAGGGCCCCCAAGGCCAGTTCCCCCCGGTGGTAAGGGTGTCCCCAGACTTCCCCGCAGGAACCGGTCCGCCAGCTGTGGATGATCCCTGCTCAGCTGCTGTCTGCTGTTGCTGTGTGGAAGTCCCTGCTGCAGCATTGGTGCCATCGTCCTGCTGGGCTGCTCCCGTACCACCACTCCTTGCGGAAACTCGTGGTCTACTCTCAAGAAGAGACAAATGGGTCAGTACTTTGGCTTGGAAATGCTTATTTGCCACTGAACGTGTCTCCTTAAGCCCGTGCGTCCCCTCCCTAGTCCCTCCCCCACAGGGAGGAACCCCTGCAGCCTGTTCCAGCGCATTCAGCCTGACTAATACGGCCTGCTGAGCTATATTCCCATCCTCATCCTCAGATGAGGACAGAGCAGGAACAGGCCTCTTGGGTGGAGCCCTGAGTGCAGGCTGCTTGCTTTTAGAGCGTCCTGTGCCCTTTTTTGGTGCCATGACAAGGCCCTTGCAAAATGGCTACCAATCCCTCACCAAATTGCCAACCAAAGCCTCAGCAAAATGGCCGCCCAAGGCCTTCCCAAATGGCCACCCAAGGCCCACTCCACCAGCAAGTTCTGGCCACCCCCAGGGAGCAGTCCCAAAAGTGTGTGACCCAGCAGCTAGCAAATCTCCAGGCCCCCACTGCCCAAGGTCTAAGGATGGGGAGGGAATGCCCATAGCGAATGGACCTGGCCCCCCAGCAAGAGCGGCCTGGTTGCAACAACCCCCTTGAAGCCTACAAGGCCCCTTATTCTCGGTGTCCTCCCAAAGCTCCCCACAAGGCCCCAAGTCTGCCCTGCCCGCTGAAAGGCTCAGGGAAACCCTGGCCTCACTGCCTGACTCCCAACCCCAGGAGCCTGACAGCCTCCCGCTGGTCTCCCCCGCGTTCTTGCCGCCACTGCCGGCTGCCGCCAGCTGTGACCCTGGCTGCCGCTGCACGAGGCCACTTGCCGCTGTCCACCGATCCGCCGCAGAGCCCCCGTTCAACGCTGCTCGCTGCTGCTCTGTCCCGCACCGAATCGCCAAAGAGGCCACTGCTGCCTCTTGCTCCTCCACTAGGCGAACAGGCCCAACTGTCGGAGCGGTGTTGCATGGCTCCCAGCCCGAGAACAGGGCGAAGCCTGAGCTACAGGGGGCAGGGCCGGCCTTAAAACTCTGGCCTCCACCCCCACACTAAACACCCGGATGTGGCGTGTACCGCAAAAACAAATGTCTCCCTTCCTTGCTGGGTGGCAAAGGCGGTTCCCCCAGCCACATGGCTGCAAGAGCCGGCGGCCGGGGATCCGGATTCTAAATGGTATCTGCAGGAAAGCTGCCTTATTCTGTGTCAAAACAGTAACACATCTAATGAATATTTTAAAGACTTTACCTCTTCTTCCCCTCTGTCTGTCTTCATTGTGTATCTATGTCAAGAATATTACGAAAGGCTACGTAAATCCTTTAAGAGTAAAGGCCTTTGTATTGACATCTTATTATACTGTTGAATAATGTACTGAACCTGACCTCTTTGTGCATAGGTTGTACAAGTTACTTTGACTTTTATTGTCTCTGCCTCTCTTATTAGAATAAGAAATATTTCACCTGTATCCCTTAAGCAATTTAACTACCATTTTGCTGCACTTTCAGATGCTTGTTTTAGCTGTTACTTCCTTAATTTACTGTATATTAACCATTAAGACTGTCTTACCTCTGCTTCTCCCAGTGGCTAAAGAAGGAGCTGGTGCGGTTGATGAAGAGGATTTCACTAAAGCTTTTGAAGATGTCCCTACTGTTCAGGTAAACAGCACCACAGACTTGTTTAAAAGCCAAAATGGGCCTTTCTTGTGGGCACTTTGAATGCTGCTCTTGTGAATTAAGCAAGACTGCCCGTCACAGACAGCTGCTTGAAGAACTTAATTCTCCCAGATCTTTACCCACAGCAAATTTACATTTGCGCGTACCCTCCTTTGTGTCAATGCTGTTCTTTTCTCTTTGCCCCAGCCAGAACGATAGATAAGGATATCATATGCACCAGTTTTTCTGTTTGTTTGTTTTTGTTCCACACTTCCTCCGAAGAGCTCAGGGCAGCATACGTGATCCCCCCCCCCCGTTTTATCCTCACAACACCACAACGAAGGGGATGAGGCTGAAAGGATGGGTGGTCCAGATTCACCGGATGAGCTTTATGGTTGATATAGGGATTCGAACCCAGATCTCCATGGTCCTAGTAGGACAGTAATCACTACATCCCACTCGACCTACAGTGCAATCCTGTGCTGAGTTATTCCAGTCTAAACCCAATGATTCTTGTGGGTTTAAGACAGGGAGTAACTGTATAGGATTATCCTGTTAGTCTTTTAACCAGAATTAACAGTTTCACAAGCCTAAAGTCTTGATCCGCTGACTGAGGGGTTATGCCGCTAGCATGATCAAACCTTCTCTCTTCCCAGTCAGCTGTAGGCCAATCTAGATGTGATTGGCATCCTTGTATTCACCATGGACTGCCACCGCCATTTTAAAGCTTAAAATGGGTGATCTAAAAATGCCACAAGGGCCCTCCTACAGTACTGTGAGACGAGGTACTCTTGTCCCCCCCCCCCCCAACTGTCTTCAAGTGCTGAAACAGCCCTGGGGGGGTGCCGTTCAGCATTTGAAAAGACATAGAGGAGGGGATAAGAGCACCTCATTCCACCGCACTGCGAGCCTGGTCCCTGAAGCCATTTTTTAATCGCCCATTTTAGGTTTCAAAATGATGGCGATGTTCCCATTGCAGGCACAAGGATGCCGCGATGTCTGGTTTGGCCCTGAGTGTGGAAACCCATAAGAACATAAGAGATGCCAATGTTGGATCAGGCCAAAGGCCCATCCAGTCCAACACTCTGTATCACACAGTGGCCAGAAATACCAGTGCCATCAGGAGGTCCACCAGTGGGGCCAGGACATTAGAAGCCATCCCACTGTTGACCCCCCCCCAAGCACCAAGATGACAGAGCATCACTTGCCCCGGAGTCCCTATCTATACCTTGTGGTTAATAGCCACTGATGGACCTCTGCTCCATATGCTTATCTAATTCCCTTTTGAAGCTGTCCATGCTTGTAACCCAGATAAATATTGACTGGCGCTCAGTTCAACCAATAGGTAAAGCAATTTATTTGCACTTGCCCCAATAGATCTGTTGATGATAACATTGTTGACTGAGCTCACTGTTCCTATCACCCACCATCATATGTGGATTTGCATTCTTTTACACCAGTACATGTCTGAACTGTCTGCAGAAGCATCAGAGAGGAGTTCAATCACATCTTAATCCGGGCACTCCTGCCCCTGTAAACTGGTTTCAAAGGACATGAAGATGATCCTTAAGAGTCCCTATGGATAGTTGGTCAAATTCAGAATATATGAAAGATAATAGAAAGTGATGTTCACAGCAATGCTTCCTCTAAGCCAGTGGTGGCGAACCTATGGCACGGGCGCCAGAGGTGGCACTCAGAGCCCTCTCTGTGGGCACGCGTGCCATCGCCCCAGCCAGGCCCAGACCATCATTAAAGTGTCGAATAATCTGCCAAATAATTTTAAGTAAGTGAAAGCATTTGGGATTGCTTTCCTTACTTTGTTTGGATCATCTTAAGTTAATGTTTGAGTTGTTTTTTCTAAAGTAAAACCTCAGTATTCAGGTTAAATTGCCGTGTTTTTTCTAAAGTAAAACCTCAGTATTCAGGTTAAATTGCCGTGTTGGCACTTTGCGATAAATAAGTGGGTTTTGGGTGGCAGCTTGGGACGGTCTCTAAAAGGTTCGCCATCACTGCTCTAAGCTGTGGAGTCCTGTGAGCAAAAATTCTGCTTGGTGAGCTATTGGCATGAAAGTTGTGAGCGAGTGATTTGGCTACTGCATAAATCAGTTTGCTCTGGAGCCGTCCTTCCCGAGCTGAGACGAAAGTGTGTGAGCCGGAGGTTAAAAAACTGTGAGCTAGCTCACACTCACTCAGCTTAGGGGGAACACTGGTTCACAGTATCCTTTAAGAATAGTTCCAATTTTAAAATCTTTATACATATCACTGAGGTTCCTTTGTTCCCCAAAGTTGTTTGTTGTTTCCTTAATGAGGTAATAAAGAGGAATGGAAGACCTGTAGGCAAGCCTATGAACCATGTCTCTAAAGTGCTGGTTTTAAATTGCTTCTGACAGAGGCATCCTACTTAACATATTGAAATATAAAGCATCAAACATCTTTTGAAAGGTGTGGATGGTTGGTGTAATTTTTATAAAGGAAAGGATTACATTCAATATTTAAGAAGAAGAAGAGATTGGATTCATACCCCGCCCTTCACTCGGAGTCTCAGAGCGGCTTACAAACTCCTTTCCCTTCCCCTCCCCACAACAGGCACCCTGAGTTAGGTGGGGCTGAGAGAGCTCTGACAGAAACTGCTCTTTCAGGAACAGCTGTGCCAGAGCTTGTGACTGACCCAAGGTCACATCAGCAGGTGCAAGTGGAGGAGGGGGGAATCAAACCCAGTTCTCCCAGATTAGAGTCCGAGCACTTAACCACTAGACCAAACTGGCTCTGGAGTCCTCTGGCTCAGTGGTGGAAACGTTTTGCAGCTCAATGAAATAAATTTTATTAAGCATCGTTACGCTTCCTCTTCTCAGATTTATTCCAGTCGAGACCTTGAGGAATCCATCAACAAAATCAGAGAAATCTTGTCAGATGATAAACATGACTGGGAACAGAGAGTAACTGCAGTAAGTACTTGTTTTTATATGAACTACGAGCAGGAAGGGGGCATCTCATTTCCCCCTCCCTCACTATTTCCTTTTTCCTTTGCCTGAAAACCCCTATAGCTTCTCCCCATCTCCTGCTACCTTCTCTCTTTCCCAACCAGCAGCCAATGTACCTTTATCTGCCCCCCCCTTTGTGTTCACCGTTCCCTCCTTCCCTCACTGTGGCAGCCCCCCCATGGAAACTATGGCCCAGGAGCAGAGTGCTGGCCACTGTGCCAAGACCAGTTGTGTAGTGGGGGAAACCACAAGGACTTGTGGGGGGGACGGACACATCACTTTTCCCTGTATCCCCTACTCACACTATTTCTTCTTTTCCTTCTCCTGGCAGCCTCCATATTATCACCTTTCCCTTCTTCCTTCTCTCCTTCCCACCTATCGAGCAACCTACCTTTTATCTGCCAGGACACCTTCAGCTATATTTATTATTTCATGTATACCCTGCCTTTCTTTGCAATGGGAACCCAGTGACTGATACCACTGGATTTACCTGGTTGGGATAGGCTATAGGATAACATCATCCCTGGAGAACTGTCTGTCTACCATCTGGCATGTATCTGGAGACCATCTATATATCTAATTCTCAAGTCGCCCCCTGGTGTACGGGTGCTTAAATCCGCACATCGGAGGGACCTGGGGGGGGGAGGGAGAGGTTTGTGCGCACGTGGGGCGGTCCCCATATGAGGACATGGGCCCACAAAAGGGCTCCCATGATTACCATGATCAGAAAATGCCTAGAGTATCTATATATCTAATTCTAAAGTCACCCCCTGGTGTGCGGATACCTAAATCCGCGCACCAGGGGCACCTGGGGGGGAGGGAGAGTTTTGTGCACACGTGGGGCGGTCCCCAGGTGTGCACAAAAATCAGAAACCCTGTAAAAAATATCGGGGGGATGTTTAAATCCCCCCGAAACTGACAGAGCGTTCCCCTCGCCACTCGGCCCTCGCTTCGGAGCCGGGGGAAGGCCAGAGGGGGGAGATCGAGCGGGGTGTGTGTGGAGGATACGGGGGAGGAACCGGCAGGATGGGGGGGACTTACCTCCTCCTGCTGCTTCCTCCTCCGCCTTCTGACTTTGGAGCTCCGTTTGGAGCTCTGCCTCCCTCCCCACCCCCCACGAGGATCGCGGGTCCACCCCTTGTCTTGTCTAATTGAGTAGAATTGTTATTAATGTTTCTATTGCTTTTATTTGTTTTATATGGGCTTTGCCCCTTGTAAGCCGCCCTGAGCCCACTCTGTGGGGAGGGCGGGGTATAAATCTCAATAAATAAATAAATAAAATAAACAAAGCAGCTGACATCATTCTCCTCGCCATTTTATCTCACAACAACTTTGCGAATTAGGCTGAGAGTGTGTAACTTGTGCAAAGTTATGCAGTGAGCTTCCACAGGACAGAGGTCTTCGAAGCTGGGTCTCCCAAATCCTAGCCTGAAACTCTAACTACTATACTATTTTTCATTGGGTGGCTGCTGTTGAATGGTAGCAAGTAGCCTGTGGTTGCTGGTGGTCTTGGACCCTAGGATTGCCAACCACCACGTGGGACCTGGAGGTCTCCCAGAATTACATCTGATGTCCAGATTACAGTGATCAGTTCCTCCTGGGAAAAAAATGGCTGCTTTGTAGGATGGAGTCTGTGGACGCTCTGAGGTTCCTTCCTTCTGTAGAACTTGCACTCCCCCAGGGTCTACTTTCAAATTTCCAGAAATTTCCCATCTTGTAGTTGGTTACCCTGGTCTTTGGTTAAAAGCGAAAACAGCCCTTGAAAGGGTCCTGCCCTCCCCCCCTGCTATTTACTGACAGAATTCAAGGCTTCAAGGCTGGCAATATGGCGTGGCTCTCTATCAATGACAACTGAGAGCATTAATTTTTTTAAGCTACTGATGCTGCTTCTATTATATGGGAGGGGGGGTTAAGCCCTCCAATGCATTTTTTAAAAAAGATTTCAGGTTTTCCTGTAAACCTGGGGTGTTTTCCAGGTTTGTAGAAAGATCTGCTGTCTGTCTTTGGTGCAGTCTCCAGATTCAAGTATCCACAGCTTTGCCCATGTTGAGGATTAGGTATATTTATTTTTAATGGAGTTTAATCTGCCTAATCTATATACTAATAGCCAAGGTGCCCCCTGGGTGCAGATATCCAAAGCTGCACATCGTGGGCACCTAGGGGGCAAAGAGATTTTCCTGCACATTTGGGGCAATCCCCAGATGTGCAGAAAAATCTGAAATCTGTAAAAAGCTATAGGGGGATACTTAAATCCCCCCCAAAGTAAAAGAGCATTCCCTGCGCATGCGCAGAGAACCCTCTGAGAACTGCCTCGCCACCGCCACTGGGGGGGGGGCAGGAGAAGGTTTGGCAGGCTGGCCGCTCAGGCCTCGCCGCTGTTGGGGGGAGGGAGAAAGCTTGGCAGGCCCCACCATTGGTGCCGGGGGCAAAGGCTTGGTGGGCCCGGTGGGAGCCACACGGGCCCCGCTGTTGGGGCCGGGGGAGAAGGCTTACCTGTGGCTGCTTCCTCCTCCTCTGCATGGAGCTCCTCCCCCTGCGAGTATCGCGGGTCCCCTTTGTTGTATGTATATATTTACCCTTTTGTGGTGTGCATATGTGTGTGTTATGTATGTATAGGGTTAGGAACTTGTAGCACTCAAAGTACTGCATTCATTTTATCTTGAGAGTTCTAGCTTTCAGTTTTTAGAATAAATATTAAATTCCTAGTGTTGTATTGAAAAGTGTGATAGTTCATGTTGTTTGTATTTTATTCTTATTTAAGAACACTTCTATCCTGCCTCTCCGCTGAACAAATCAAGGCAGCTAATAATATAAATTAATAAAATAAACAAATCTTTAAAAAGACACACAAAAAAGAAGATAAAAGAAATAAAATACAGCAGCATAGTAAATTATCTGCTGTTGCTCTTAAGCCAGTCTCTAACAGTGCATCTTCAATGGAGTGTTGCACCCCTATACGCCTATTGAGTTCAATGAATTCAGAAGGGTGTAGCTCTGTTTAGGATTGTGCTGTAAATCTGAGTGGATTCCCCCCCCATAAAACTCAAAGATAGCCAACAATATACCTCTCTACCGATCTTACTTTCTAAATGTTTTTGTTCAATAGCTGAAAAAGATCCGTTCTCTGTTGCTGGCTGGAGCAGCTGAATATGATACCTTCTTCCAACACCTGCGCTTGCTTGATGGAGCATTTAAATTATCTGCAAAAGACTTGCGGTCTCAGGTAGTGCGAGAGGCTTGTATCACATTGGGGTAAGGAATATAAATTAACATATTCTAATGTATAGTGTTGTGCGTTCTAATAGGCAGATGCCAAGGGTTCCTCAGTCTTGTACCATCTTCTACAAGGAGTCTGAGGCAATTGAGCTATCAGAGACTAGATTTCCAGTTCTTATTTTGGTTTTATTGTTCATGACCATCTGTAGATACTTGCCTCCTATTTGTGCAGAAACACACTTATGATATTGGTTTATAGTTCAGTTCCAGTTTATTCAGAGGCAAATGAAGACGCCAGCTTGCTTTTACGTTGGGAAATAGGCTGAGATTGTCCTGTCAGTTGGTTAAATGTAGACTTTGGGACATTTAGACTTTGGTAAGTTGGGAACTGATTACGATTGTCCACCCCCAGAGGCAGATGGATCTGGATGGATTCCTGACAGCCTTGTCCTTGATGAAATGGCTGGGACCATTGCTGAAGCTTTGGTTTATCTTCATGTCTAGTCAGGGGTGATCTGCGAATTGCAGTCACTCTTAGGCATCCTCTGCCATCACATAGAGCCCTTTCTGCCCCTTAGTTTGCTAAGGAGCTGGCAGGTAGGCAACATACATGTGGAGAAAATCTGAGTGACCAGAATTGGGACCAGAGCCCACATCCCTTAATAAGAGGACAAAGATGTACAGTTACAGTATGAGATAACGGGAATGTACAGAATAGAGAAGCTTATTTGGTGTGGTTGACCCATTTGCCTTTCTGTTTACATGGAGCTGCGGTGGCTCAAGTGGTTAAGACGCTGAACTGCAGGCTGTGAAAGGTCAGTAGTTCAGCAGTCCAAGACCCGGGTGCCGCATGATGGAGTGAGCTCCCATCTCTAGTTCCAGCTCCTGCCAACCTAGCAGTTCGAAAGCAAGAAATTGCAAGTAGATAAATAGGTACCACTTTGGTGGGAAGGTAACAGCGTTCCGTGCGCCTCGGTGTTTAGTCATGCCGGCCACATGACCACGGAAAAGTCTTTGGACAGCGCTGGCTCTTCGGCTTTGAAATGGATATGAGCACCGCAACCGTAGAGTCAGATTCGACTGGCTTTCAAGCAAGGGAACCTTTACCTTTTACCTTACATGGCTTATAGTGAACAGTCAAAATGAAGAAAGTGAACCCAACACATGCCAGTTCAAGAGGAGGGCAAAAATGGGGGAGGGGGCTCTCTGTCATACATGTAATCAGACACCCAAAAAAGATAGGGGGGGGGGAAATCTAAACTAAATCAGAGCCTGAAAGTTCACTGAAAATTCTGCCCCTTAGTTATCTATCTCAGCATAAAATTAAGGTAAAAAAAAAAGGCACCGTTTAGATTTTTCCCCAAAATTGAGCATTTATGAACATATTAAGCTGCCTTCTGTGTGAGACTATTGGTCTATCAACGTCATGTCTCCCGTGACTGAGAGCGGCGCTCCAGAGTGTCAGGTCTTTTACATTATCTACTGCTTCACTCTTTAACTTCTAAAGAGGCATGGCTGTTCTAGGCAGACGTGTGCACACATTTTGTTTACATCTTATTCTCAAGCTTAGTGCTGTAGTGAAACTAGCAGAGCAGAAAGCAGAATAAAAGATAGAAAAATATAATATTCTCTTAGGGCTCAAACTGAGTTCAGGGTGAAGTTCAAATGAATCCTTTCCTCCAGCAAATTCTTTGGTGGTAATTCTGTGATGAACTCTGCCAGGAGCATTGACTTGAAGTAAAAGGTACTAGGGCAGTTTTGGTTTGGTGTAGTGGTTAGGAGCATGGAGAACCGGGTTTGATTCCCCACTCCTCCACATGCAGCCGCTGGGTGACCTTTGGGCAAGCCACAGTTCTCTCAGAGCTTTCCTCTCGAGAACGGTTCTCAAAGAGCTCTTTCAGCCCCACCTACCTCACAAGGTGTCTGTTGTGGGGAGAGGAAGGGAAAGGAGTTTGTAAGCCGCTCTGAAACTCTGAGTGAAGTATAAATTCAATCTCCTCCTCCTCTGAATGTTCAGAGTACTGTGCTTACATTACCTTGTTAGCCCTAATGCAAGCTTGTAAAGAAGGTGAGTATTATCCCCAGATTATCCTCAGTCTTATCCACAGAAGCTGGGAGGGAGTGGCCTTCTTTCACTTAGTTAATTTATAGCAGAGCTCAGAGTCAAGCCAGGGAACTCCTGCATAAGGGAACTCCTACCTTGTAGCTCAGTGCCTTATCCACTCTGATATATCGTTGTGATAAGAGCCTTGTTTCTCTTTTCAGGCACCTGTCGTCCGTCTTGGGTAACAAGTTTGACCACGGGGCAGAAGCCATCATGCCAACCATCTTTAATCTCATTCCCAACAGTGCCAAAGTCATGGCCACTTCTGGCGTGGTAGCTGTCAGACTGATTATCCGAGTAAGTATCCTCTCAAAGCGAAGAATGAATGTTGTTTCTCAGGAACATTCCAATTAGAGCAGCAGAGGGGCGCAAATGTGAAAATTATCCCAATGAGCAGACTCTTCAGGAGAATCCTAAATGACAGTGTCTCGGGTAGTCAATAAGAGAAGGTTCACCGCTTGTTGTCGTCACTGATTTTGGCAGTGTTACTTTTTGGTCCTGGAACTTTTCAAGGCTCAGAAAGCCAAGTGATTCAGTTGTGCCCTCTGGGCTTCTCTTTAGTAGTGTGCAGGGGTCATTTTGTAGAAAAAGAGGTGCAGGAGCTCATTGGCATAACTCATTAGCGTAACTCATTTGCATATGCCACACCCCCTGACATCACTGGAAGTGTGTCAGAAGGCAACACCCACCACTCAGACTCCACTGGATTGTTTTGGATTGCTGGCTATTGGGGGGGGGGACGTGCAGATCTGTCCTCGCAGAGGAGGGAGAGCTTGTACCTGAATAAAACTTGGTCTTAAAGGTGCCACTGGACTGTCTTGGACCGGGGGGGCGGGTGTGTGTGTCTGCAACTTACCTGACTGCTTCTTGCTCTGACTGAGGGCTGCTGGGAGCAGGGAGTGGGGCTTGTTGCATGCGCCCGCCCCCTGGGCCCTTTACTGCCGGAGCTCCGCTCCTGTGCGCTCCTGCAGGAAATGACCCTTGGTCATGTGGCAGCGCTCTGTGCTGAATCTGTCAGTGTTTAAAACTCAGATGAAGAACAAAGAGCACGTTGGGGGGGAAATGTGTTTAATTTTTGTGGCTTAGTCCCACACGGGACCGCATGATGGCAGGCCAGCCACGGAGAAGAACTTCCAAGCTTTTCTGAAGAAGCTTCTAGGTTCTGCTCCCCCTCCCCTCCTGTCTATAGAGATCCCTGTTCCCGCCCAAAGGGTCATGTGACGGAGGTAGGACGAGCATTCCTTCCCTCAGTTCTCTTCTTGCCGCCGTGAGGAGAGGATGCGCTTCTGAGTGACTACTTCATTCGGCCTTGGCAATAAAACAACGAGGTTTTTTCTTCACCAAAAACAGTGAGGGCTTTAAAATAATCGGTAGGATGGCTCTAGTAAAGAAGTGTGAGGCGCTTAGGGGGAAAATGGCCCAAAATGATGATCATGGTAGACCAGTCATCATGCATCCTTCTAGCCTTCTTCTGGCTCAGAAGGGTGTGGTTCCCCATGGTCTGGAAACTGGCCCAAAGGGTGATACAGGACATTGCCCCCCAAAGGAGGATCTTCTCCATCCTAAGGTCTGCCATCCTAAGGTTCAATCCTCCATCCTGTCTGCCATCCTAAGGTTCAATCCATCCTAAGGTTCAATCCTCCATCCTGTCTGCCATCCTAAAGTTCAATCCTTGCACCTGACTGCTTGGCTAATCCTGCAACAGAAGGATTTTCACACAGAATTGAACAGGTTACAACTGCCTCTCACAAACCCACAATGAGAAGGTTCTATAAGTATAAAAAGGAAAACGTTTGTTTACTGGAGTGGTGAGCAGGGCATTGATCCACTATCATGTAGTTTGAGTAAAATCTTTGATTACTTCCTGGATCTGAGAGAAGGGGGTCTAGCAACCTTGTCTAAAGGTTCATCTAGCCATCTGCATCTCACACCCCAGTCAGTCTTCTCTGTTCCAGAGTCCAAAAATTTTCTGAAAGGTTTGTTTAATACATTCCCACTGGTTGTGCCCCTGTCCCTCAATGGAGTTTGTCCCTAGTCCTGATGTATAAACCTTTTGAACCCTTGGCCAGTGTGGACTTGTCTTTTGTCTGTTATAAAATTGCCTTTTTGGTAGTAATTACCTCTGCTAGCAGGGTAACCAAGCTGTGGGTAGTACTCATACCTAGTGTAGAGTTCCTCCCTAAGTTGGTATCACAATTACACCTCAACCAAGACATCATCCTTCCAGGGCCCTTCCCATCCCCGATGTCATTGTCGGGGGGAAAAAACACTATACACTAGATGCAGGACTTTTTTGGTACAAAAAGCCCAGCAGGAACTCATTAGCATAATAGGCCACACCCAACAGCAGGAACTCATTAGCATATTAGGCCACACCCCTGATAACACATCATATTAACATATTAGGGCACACCCCCATGTTGCCAGAAGTGTGGTCATCCAGCCACACCCACCTTTTGCTTCTTATTTTGTTTCCCTTGTCAAAACCCTGGGCTTTTTTTGTAGCAGGAACCCTTTGCATGTTAGGCCAGACACCCCAGTGTAGCCAATCCTAATGAGTTTCTGCTGTTGGGTGTCGCCTGTTATGTTAATGAGTTCCTGCTGGGTGTGGCCAACTCGGGAGCCAGCCGGAACTCCGTTCCTGCCCAAAAATAGCCCTGACTAGATGTACGAAGAGCAGTCCATTTTTTGTTTGAAAAGAACACAAGGATCGAACTGTGTATGTTCTAAGGAGTCAAAGGAAGAGCTGCATCAGTGCAGTGACTCTCCTGCTGGGTAATCTCTGCAATCTGAACAGCTAAGGTCCCTTGCCCAGTGTCCCCGAAAGCTCACTCGACAAGGGCTCAGGCATCTTCAGCAGCATTCCATGCCAGCCTTGCGCTAGAAGATATCTGCGAGGCAGTGACTTGGTCCACCCCCTCTACGTTCATCAAACACTACCTTCATCAAGGACTCCAGAAGTGAAGCTGCAGTGGGAAAGGCTGTGTCACAAGTGATTTTTTTTGTTGATCAGCCCACACCCTCCTCCTAGAGTAGGTGAGCCTGCTATTCTCCCATGTGGGACTGCACAGAAGCCACGACGATGAAAACGGGTGCCCTTACCTGAAACCGTTGTTCATCAAGTGGCCATCTGTTCAGGCACATATCCCTACCTCCTTTCCCCACTGCGGGCTGCTGAATGTGCAGGGGCCTCCTCACGGCAGCGAAGGGAAGGAGTGCTCACCCTGTGACCCTTTGGGTGGGAAAAAGGATCTCTGTAGACAGAGGGGAGGGGGAGCACTCCAGAGCCTAGAAGCTTCTTCAGAAAAGCTTGGAAGCTCTTCTCCATGGCTGGCCCGCCATCATGCAGTCCCTATGTGGGCCCACACAGAAGGCCACTCGATGAACAACAGTTACAGATAAGTGTAACCCTATTTTGCCGAACAGCTCAGTCTGGGTGCTCTTGCAAATATGTTCCCTTGTTGATGTTCCCTGCTATTTATTTTTAAATTAACTTTCATTTTCTGTTCATGAAGGATGAGCAAATCAACACATATCAAATTACAAGTGAACATCAGGTGTAAAGACCCGTAGCTGCATCATCACAGATTCTGTGGATGTAGCCCTAGAAAGAAAAGAGCTGTAATTCTGAGCTGTGTATTAAAATAAACAGTCTGTGGCAAGAAAAACTGAATTATGTGGCCGGCATAAATTATGCAAATTAAAATGCTGTATATTTGCTCATATGTATAACTTTTTTTTGCTACTCATGAAGAAGTGAAAAGGGCTATATTTGGTTCTAAAGTCTTTGACCACTGGAAGTCCAGTGTATCTGCCTAAATTAACCAACTTGTCAAAGACATTTGCTATACATGTTCCTAAGAGTTTCTTTTTTAAAACATTCATTCCCCAGCATACGCACATCCCTCGACTAATCCCCATCATCACTAGTAACTGTACCTCCAAGTCTGTTGCAGTTAGAAGGTGAGTTTTTCTTTTCTTTTCTTTAATCTCTGGCGTAGTAAAATCGAATGATGCTTAGAGGTGTCACTTGTTTGTTTGATGCAAGCTGTTGTGCATTTCTTAATACACTGTAGATCCAAATCTTAGTATCTAACTGCACCCCATAGAACAGAAATCACAGGTCAGGTGCCCCTTATTTGAACCAACTAGTGTTTAAGATGCAGGACAGGATATTACACAGAAAGTTTTCGATGCCTGTATAGTTTAGGATTTAAAAAAAGGAGTGAATATAGTACAGTGATGGTGAACCTTTTAGAGACCGAGTGCCCAAACTGCGACCCAAAACCCACTTATTTATCACAAAGTGCCAACACGGCAATTGAACCTGAATACTGAGGTTTTGCTTTAGAAAAAACAACTCACACATTAATTTAAGATGATCCAAACAAAGTAAGGAAAGCAATCCCAAATGCTTTCATTTACTTGAAATTATTTGGCAGAGAATTCAACACTTTAATGATGGTCTGGGCCTGGCTGGGGCGATGGCACGCGTGCCCACAGAGAGGGCTCTGAGTGCCTCCTCTAGCACTCGTGCCATAGGTTCGCC